TGGCGGCAGCGGCGCTGGCTATTGGCTGCGGCTGGGACGAGGGGGCGGGGCTTCGGGGGGGGGCGCCCTCCTTCCCCCTCCCGCGCGTGCCCGTGCCTGCGCGCGCGCCACCCCCCGAGCGAACGAGACCGGGAGGCGAGCTGGATGAGGGAGCATGTCTGCCGGCCGGGCGAAGAAAGTGAAGATGGCCACCAAGTCCTGCCCGGAGTGTGACCAGCAGGTGAGAGGCCGCGTCCCCGCCCTCCTGCTCCCGTGCACTGGGAGGCCGCCTTCAGACGTGCCTCCTTCACGGGTTCAGGGGATGGCCAGGCCAGTGGCATTGGGGGGGAAGTGTGTCTCCTGGGGTTCTTTAGCTCTCCCCCCCCACCCCCGTGCATTCTGCCCACTTTTGCAGGATTTGGGGGGACGGGAGGGGGGTCCCCCCGTGGGTTGCATTGCATTGCATTGCACGGGAAGAGGATGCAAAAAAAAAATAAAATAATTTAAAGAATTGGACGAACGTTTCTTTTAAAATAACGCCGGGGTGTCGTTTTGGAAGAACGGTCGCCGTGTGTTTTTTGTCCATGCAGGCAGATCAGGCGAAATCCTAAAGGTGTGGGTGGGAAAGAACAACAAAAAAAACTCTTTAAAAAAACCCCTTGTGGCGCTTTAAAAAAACTCAGTATTTAATTTAAAAATGAGCTTCAGCTTATGGGGATGGCATGTTTTTGCACCTCCTTGCTTCCGACGGCTGGCAGTTTGTCGTTATTATGGCAGGGAGGGAGGGAGGGAGACCGGAACGGTTGGATACAAAGCTTTTTTAAAATGTTTGCTTTATCTATGTATGTTTGTGTTTGTCTTGTGTATCTCAGAGAGGTAACTGTTTCAGGAAAATCCCAAGCGGGGAAGTATTGTGTGACAGCAAATTTATTTCAGTGTGGGCTGCAAACTTCTTCTTTAAACACACACACACACACACTCCGGGTGTGTATGTCTGTGCCTGTGTGTGTTTAGTGTATCCCTTAATGTTCTCTTGAGATGATGACCATGAAGAGCCTCTCCAAATTGGAGCATGATGATGAATGAGCAAACGGGGGGAGCTGAGGCTGCAGTCTTAGCATGTTGACTGGGAAGTGGGTCCTGTTGACTTCGATGGGGACGGGTGTGTTTGTGTGTGTGAGCGACAGCCTCGGTAACTCACAATTGTGAGAATCTAAAAGGGTTTAACGTTGCCACGAATGACGGGTGTGTTTGTGTGTGTGTGTGTGTTTTTAGGATGAGCGACAGCCTCGGTAACTCACAATCGTGCGAATCTAAAAGGGTTTAACGTTGCCACGAATGATGCCACACTTGCATTAAACGATCAGGGGGGTGTTTTAACTTTTGCTCATGTCGGCCAGGTTGGAATCTGTCAGCGCTCGTGCCAACAGATGTAGGACAAGTTCTGAGCCATCAGATCCCAGTGTAAGCCAGTTTAATCATCCACGCTGCTGGACTTGTGGAGGGTGGAAGGTAGAGTTGTGAACAGGATCTGGTAGCCGAAGCATCCAGGTATACTTACATTGGAAGCCCTTATTCAACCGTCTTTCCATTCTGTTGGAGAGAAAGATCTGAGTCATGCAAAAGCTTGAATTTCCCTACACTTCAGTGCACTAAAAATAAATGTACTTTTCATAGCTTTCTGAAAAACTGAAGTGAGTTCTCTCTCTCTCTCCTTCCTCCCACACGTTGTACTGCAGTGTCGGTTTCACCTTAATCTGATCATGTCTTGTTTTGTTTGGGAATTCTTTTTTAAAGTTTTCAGTTTAAAATTGCCTGTACAATTTTGGAAACTGCCTTAGAGGGCAAGGTACTGCTGTTTACATTTTTTTTTTTATAAAATTGAAAGAATGTTAAGTGGACACAGCTGGTGCATGCTGCCACCCAGAATTTTATTTATATATTGCATTTATTTATTCCATTTCTGCTCTCAGTTTCCTCCTCAGTGCTCTGCAGACTGTATCTATTTAGTTCTCTCCATTCTCTTTCATTCCCCTGCAAATTTGTGAAATGACGGTTGGTGACTAGCAGATGGTAATCAGTTGAGCTTATGGGGGAAATACTGGGTCTCTCCAGCCACATTCTAGCAACTATGGATGGCAGAATTGCAACTTTTCTTTTTAAAAGTTTACTGGCCACCCTGTCTTGAAAACAGAAATTTGCAGTCAGTCTAGTTGAGGGTTGTGAGCCCAGATGTGTTGGATTTAATCATTGTATACTAAATGGTGCCGGTTTAAGTTGGTTTGGGCAGGCATGAGTATCAGCATAAGCATCTTAAAAACTTTAATTTCCACCGTTTATGCAGGATGCATGTTTCTTCATTTGCACAGTATGCTGATGCTTCATGTTATAAATATTGTGTGAACAACATACCTGTGTGCACCCATCTTTGAATGCCACTGTCTATAGGGTAGCGAAGCCTTATGGGTTGGGTTTTCCAAATGGGTGTGAACTTATTTGTCATCATAGAATAGTGAAGTTGGAAGGGCCCTATACTTTTTTCAGTCTTTCCTCATAGGGCTTGGTTTCCAGCCCTCTGATCATCCTTGTTATGTATGCACATGTGTTGTGCATATGCTGTAGACGTGTTCAGTCATACAGTCAACACAATGCCCATCTAAAGTGTGGAGATGCCCTTAATTATGGCGTGGTATCTGCGTGGCACAACTTTTCAGCGCTACATGCTTCCTCTTAAGAAAGGGTTCCCCTTTCTTGAGTATTGATTTACCCAGCGTGGAAATGTTATGCAGAGAGCACAGCATTAAGCATTTAGGTGATGTTTCGTGTCCCTATAAGGTCTTGTTTCACTTTCCGCAGGGAGACTTGGCTTAGAATTTATTTTATTTTCCAAGAGTCTTGCATCAAAAGCAGCTGTTCCTTTCTTGTGTGTTGGGGCTCCAGGCTCTGGTTTTCCTCCGCCTCTCACAATCCCTAGCTTTGTGAAACATAACCAGATTGCTTCAGTATACCGTGTACAACAGGCCTTAGAAAGCCATCTTTCTGTGTCATCTCTTGCTACTGCACAATAACAGCCTGATTTAAAAATAGAGAATTTTGCATGCTTCTGCCTGTCTTTGACATGGCTGTGTTTTTCTCTATGACACTTTGATGTTTTTTGAGGCAGGTTGTAAATGTTTAATAGCTGCAGCTGTAGCTTTACCATGACTACCACTGTACTCCAGCAGGCTTGGTGAATTAAGGCTGTTTTCAGATTGTGCTGAGAAGGTCTTTTTTCTTACAAGGCCTAATGGCACAACTGGAAGAAGTCAGAAAGCTTACTGGGGAGGGGGAGAGAGAGAGAAGGGTTTATTTTCATAATGTTTCCGATCTTTTGCTTTTGAGAGCACCATCCTGCCAACTTGCTGCTGAGTCATTTCAAGGTTATAATTTTACAAGTATTTTGTAGATGCAGGGTTTTTTTTAAAGAGGCCTAGAACCAGGACTTCTTATTTCAAGAATTCTTAAAATGTCCTCCCAGGGGTAAGCAAAATGATTGCCTTAATATGCAACGAGACGGCTAAGGCTATATGGTGGAATATAACACCTCGTGGTACAACTGTCTAGTATGTCAGTGTATGTAATGAAATCTATTTTATGATTCTTTCCTCCTTCAGTAAGTCTAACATTTTTTCAGGGTACAAAATAAGTGTTTGCTTAGGAGCGCATACCAAAAAAAAGCACAGTCTGTACCGTCTTTTTTTTTAAATTTCATTTGCCAACCTATTCTCCCAGTGAAGATTTCATCTACCAAATGACAATTTTTATTACCATGTGTTATACAGACTTGCTGGTCCACAACCTTAGGGCATTCCAAGGTTGTTTAATTTTCTTTTGCATAAATCAGCGGAACAGGAGAGTCTGCCTGTTCTGCACATGCACACATTTCCCCACAGTTCTTGGACATGGTTTTACCATGCAGAAGAAATGAAATTAAAAGGGCAGCCAGCCTCATCACCATATCAGAAGGTGACTAGCATTAAGAATTGATCCCAAATTACAAAAAAATTAATCGAGGTTTGTTCAAGTAAGAGGACTGTCAAAACAAGGTCAGATATTGGGAAACCAAGGAAGGGTAGGGCCATTTCCATAAGAGGTGAGAATTGCATGCCCAACATCTCCTAGGTTTTGCTAGTTGTATCCTGTGTTTCTCTGTCTGCTAACCGTGTTGGAAAACACTTGTGTATTATATTATTTAAGATATTTTACCCCACCTTTCTTCTTAAAAGGGAGCCAAGGTGGCTTTTACATCATTAAGAGACAGCATTTAGCGCTAACGACAGTGAGTATTACAAGTAACAAACCAAGAACATACACTAACGACAGTATTACAAGTAACAAACCAAGAACATACTAATCACATTACATTCTATTTTTAATTTTCCATTGGTAATTTCTAGTACAGACTTTTGTCTCTATGAAATACCGAGCAGTGGAACCGGACTAGTCAGTGCTGTTTATTTTCACCCAGTGAGGCCCTGTTGAAGCATGCTATTAATAGCTTCGGTAAGCTGTTTGAGAATTTTTTTGTGCTCCTAATGAAAAAGAGAGAGTTGCATTCTATGCACTTCCTGACATGGAGGTGCGGGATAAGATGTGGTGGTGCAGATTGCGTTGTGTTTTCGCCTTTACAAAGGCGCCTTCCGAACCGTGTTATGAAAATAACCGTGTTATTTTCATAACTGAAAATATTTTCAGTTATAGAAATAAGTGTTTTTCTTGATAGTTTTATGACAACATGAAGATACCTGGTGGGTTTAAAATCACTGCAGTAGACACAGCATCCGTTTAAAAGGCACACTAAAAGCAATCCCCGAAGGCGCCTTCCTACCGTGTTATGAAAATACCCTAGGATGCCTCTCAGTTATAGAAAATAAGTGTTTTTCTTGATAGTTTTACGACAACATGAAGAAACCTGGTAGGTTTAAAACCACTGCAGTCGACACAGCATCCATTTAAAAGGCACACTAAAAGCAATCCCCGAGATAAATGAAAACATCATAGATTGTAAACCTGGAAAACTATCATGCTTTCTTTCTTAAATCCCAAGGGGCCTTAACACAGGCCAAGCTGTCTCTGTTTAAATACAGTTGCAGCTGGTGCTTCAGCGTCTACTGCAAATAACAACAACAACAACACAGTGGCTTGTGGTACCTTAAAAACTCAGTGGTTTTATTTGGCATATGTTTTTGTGCACCTATGGTACATAGTTATAGCAGTTTGATATCATTTTGATTGCAGTTGCTCCATCCTGTGGAATCCTGGGGTTTGTAGTTTAGCAAGGGACTTAGCATGATCTGCTAGAGCAGGGGCTCCCAGCCTTGGGTAACCGAGATGTTCTTGGGCTGCATCTTCCAGAAACCCCAGGCAGCCCAACTAACTGGTGTCGAAGGTTTCTGAGAACTGCGGACCAAGAACGCCTGGGTCACCCAAGGTTGGGAACCCTGAGCCCAACTAACTGGTGTCAAACGTTTCTGAGAACTGCGGACCAAGAACGCCCGGGTCACCCAAGGTTGGGAACCCTGAAACTGCTGGAGAGAATTCTGCATCCGGGGCAGGCTGAACGTGAGGTCTGTAGGCACCCTGGAACTGCTGGAGAGAATTCTGCATCCAGGGCAGGCTGAACGTGAGGTCTGTAGGCACATGAGCCCCTGCATGTGTCCCCTCTGTCTTGTCAGGACAGATGTGGTTTGTTGTCCTTCATCCAGTTCTTTTCTGACTCGGAGTGCTGATTCAGTAGGTCTGCAAATTTATCCTATTATAAAGCAAAAGAGTTAGGAATTGGAGAGTATCAGTATGTTGATGACATTTATTGCTGGACGGTGGGGCTTTTGGACTAGGTATAAATACACAGAGCAAGGGGTCGGAGCCAGTGGGAGCCTGTGGCAAACGTTTCACAAGCCAGTATCCTATTAAGCTTCTATTCCACTCTCCCCAGGGTGGTCATGCAGCATTGTGCAATTGTGCTGTTTGTGCAATTCTGGGAATTTCACAACTCCAGGTGGAGGTGTACTCGGCCGTTCTACTCGGCAGTCCTTTGGCACAGGGCACTCCCCCATGTGGGTCCCATTCATTATTCTCTTTGACGTTCAACCCACTCCAAAAATTTAAGTTCTTCGTCCATGTTGAAAATGACCTTTGTTTTGCAAGCTTTTCCTTTGTGTCGTTCAGCCTGCCACCTATTGCATGAGCAGTATAAATCCTGCATGATGTGGTGTGCATTGTGCTCCTTGTAATTGTTATGACTGTTGTACGCTGGTTTGAAATCTTTAGATCTATGTGGTTTACAGTTTGTTTTTTTGTAGATCAAATATAAACAAATGAGGGAGTGAACTGAATCTAAGTGGGGCAGACACGTTCAAAACTCGCAAATTAAAACATTAAACAGAAAGAGTGTGGAGACATTTCAGAAGAGAACTGGGGATGGCTTTGTGTTACGGGAGGATGCATGGAGTATGAAGTCGCACAAGCTAGAAGAAATTTTGCTCCCTTTTTTGTGTGATCACAAAAAAAACCTGAAACATCTGGAGGGCCCCCTTTTGGGAAAAGCTTCCATGCGATAGCAAAAGCCTTAATATTCCATGTGGTGCTTAAAATTCACAGCAGCTGCAGTCAAAAGGAGCTTACCAATCAAACCGAAACGTGGCTTACCAGACGGGAGAAATGCTGATGTTTTCCTGGAAATGACAGCCTAGGTTATTGTTGACTAAAGTACCGGTGTTTCTGTTGGAACGAGGCTTTTTTGCACGCCAGCATAGATGGGAGAGCCACTGGTTGCTTTCTCAATAGCGGCTCTGTGCTGCGTCGGAAGCCGCTTCCGAAAATTTGTGTGGAGGGTGTGGGTGACAATAGTCCCTCTGTATGTGTGCTTCTCTGGATGTGGACTCCCTGCCATGGTATGACTGCTCGCTTTTCCAAGGGGGAAAAGCCATGATACGGGCTATGGTCAGTGGCATCTAAAAATTCCACAAGACTATTGGGGTAAGGCCTTTCTGAAAACGTTGTCTTAAAAAAAAAAGACACCCACACCATTCAGAAGATTATGGGCACCGTGTTATTGATGCCAATTTCTTTGATGGGCTGGGGGGGTACCCATCCAATGAATTACCTTCAGGTGCACAGTGAATGGGCTTCATTGTTCATCTTGGCAGATCTGCAGGGTGGATTTGAAGAGTAATCATCTGCCATTGAAAGCCTGGCTGCTCATCAGTGTGCATCTGTGCAAAGTGCTGCACAGGAAATAACAGCCCTGCCTCTAGCAGTGGGAATAACTTGTGGGATGTACACAGAATAAAATCCCCCCCTTTCCCCCCCCCTCCAATGAATGTAGAGGTTGAATAGCATTTACTCAAGTATTGTTCCTAAGGTCATGAATCAGAATGTCTTTCGCGTAAGACAGAACTCCAAATGTGCATTTGGCTCAAAACAAACAAACAGCAGCAGCCATCATAACAGTTGTGCAACACCCCATAGATGTAAAAGCTGCAGCAACTGTTCAGCACATGCTTGTCCCGTGCTTTGCTGCTTCTTCCTTCCAATGTATAACCAGCATCCTTTCCTGCCGAAACAGTGGTCTTGGCCACCGGGCAGTAGCTGCTTTTAGAGAAGCATCAGTGGCAATTCTGTTGCTTCACGCTGTAGAGTTGGGCCCCTTGAATTCATGGAACTTGCAGAGGAGTTGGGGGTTCCCAGTGTGGTGTAGTGGAAAGAGTGACAAACGAGGACTCCAGAGAACAGGGTTCGAATCCCTTCTTGGCCCTGGAAGCTCACTGGGGGGTTTAGAACTGATAAAGCCTCTCCTTAAATGCCTCACCTACCTGAAAAACCCTGTTAGGGCTCCTTTAAGTCAGTTCCAGCTTGACGGCACGCAACAACAACAGAGGAGTTGACCCACCAGATCCCTACTTATTCAATGGACCTACTCTAGTTGCAGTTTATTTATTTATTTGCAATTTTTTTTAGCCACACCTTTACCAATGGTCTCTGAGTGGCATACCTCCTTAAATGCCTCACCTACCTGAAAAACCCTGTTAGGGCTCCTTTAAGTCAGTTCCAGCTTGACGGCACGCAACAACAACAGAGGAGTTGACCCACCAGATCCCTACTTATTCAATGGACCTACTCTAGTTGCAGTTTATTTATTTATTTGCAATTTTTTTTAGCCACACCTTTACCAATGGTCTCTGAGTGGCATACAACAATATTAGTTGATTTATTTATTTGCAATTTTTTTTTTAGCCACACCATTACCAATGGTCTCTGAGTGGCATACAACAATATTAAAACTTTAGAAAAGCATTAAAACCATTAAAAAACCCAATGTTTTAATAATACCCTATATTAAAACAGTTTACTATGGCAAGTAACAGGATTTTGGCCAATGTTTTATTAGCACTGCAAATAATATAACTTTCTTATTGTGCTGTTGATTTATCTCTAGAATAATGCAGTTGTAATTGAATACGGAGTCAAATAGAGGGTCTGTTGCTCGTGAGCAAACTTGATTTTCTAGTACCAGATTTCATCCTACTCCCTCACCAAAAATGTGTTTTGCTGCAGCAAAAACGATGGATTGCCTGCTCCCAGGAATTTCGCGGTTCACAGATGGACTTTTCAAATAGCTT